GGTTGTTGGCCCTGAGAGCGACCCCTTGTGCCTCTTCCACTTCATGGTGACGAGGCACCAGGAGGGCAGCACTTGTCTTGTGCTAAATGTAGTCTCAGGTTTAAGAAGCAGAAGCACAAGCCTGCTCAAAGGGACCTGTGCTCGTGCCTTAACTTATTTGATGCCAACAAGGTGTTCGTTATCAATGTTTCTTCCTTTCATCCACACTCAAAAATTGTGTGGCTTTAGTGCCAGGTATTCTGAAGAACACACATGAGGGATTTCAGGGATGTGAGTGTTGGGCGTGGAGTGGAGGAAATTGATCCTTGAGAAAATTGGGCCCTGCAGAACTCTTCATTAAAGCTTGGGAACTAACTCCTCTCCATTTGATGACCAGCCTCTGGAAAGGAGAACTGCTGATACAACTTAGAAAAAGGGCTGTGGCCTCTGCTAGAACATCAAGCTAAGCTCTTCTGGTTTCCTCCGGCTGTTCTAAATGTTAACTACCAAAAGAAATAAAAATGCACCTGAAGGAGCACTAGGAGCAGTGCCGGGGCCCCTCAGAGACCCCGTTATTCTTGCTCTCTGTCCACTTCAGACACGTCTCCCTCCACAGTCAAATATAATTAGGGCTCAGTGAGACACCGAAGCACAGGGAGGCACCAGAGGAGTGGGGCAGCTGAACAAGCTGATGACTGCAGTGTGGGGTGCCTAGGCCTTGAGGGAGCTGAGACATCACCTCTGGGGCAATGAACTTCCTTCGAGCTTTCCGCCCTGGATCTTCTAACTGGACAGCTGGTAAGACCATTCTCATGCCAGAGAAAACATCAACAAGGCCCAGTCTTCACACATAAACCAACACGGTTCTTCTGAATGACTTGGTCGGAACTCAGGACTCCACAGACAGAAGTGTGCCTAGAAGCACAGTCTCTGGGGAATCCTGTTACTCTGGAATCCCTGGACTGGCCTCATCTAGCTGTTCTTACGAAGATCACAACTCTCATTGAGAGGACTAGCTAATTGAAAGTCCTTCATGGCTTAGCCACTCACATGTGCACCTCAGTGAATTCTGCTTTATTTTCTCCTTCAAACCCTGTGTGAAGGGGGCACCTTTGCCAGTTCACTTACAATCCAGGGCAACCAGATGCCTTCCTTTGGAAAATATTCTCCAAAGCCATCCATTTTACTTCTTTTAAACATCTTCTCCCACATTTGTCCAAGTAAGTGAGGTGTTAACCGCTTTGGGCTCTTTTTTCCTGCAAAGTGAGTGACTTCCAGGTCTTTGTCCGAGGGGCCATTTCTGTTAAGCCCAATCTCTTTCATGGTAGTCACTAAACCTGAATGCAAGGAGCCCAGCAGCAATCTTAAAGTTGTATTTTCTTTCCTGGAGAAGAAGCCAAATGCTGTCGTTGTAGTTCCCCATGTAGAGGCCTGTCCTTTGTTTCTAATACCATCTGTGTCCTTTTCCTCTCGTTGGTATTTAGGTAAAATTATTTCCATTCCAAGCATTTTCCCCACTCTGATTCTGAACTGGTCAGCGAGTCTTAGAGGCTCCGTTACCATGGTAGACTGTAGTATTGCTTTCTTGGGTTTTTCTTTTCTGGAATCTCGCTGGAGAGTGAAGAGAGTCCCTCGCTACCCCTCTTTAAGTTGAAGAGACCACAATACTTCACATCTTTGAGGCATCACCTCCTCAAAGATGCTGTGAGGGAGACCAATAAATACTCAAATGTCCCATGAAAGCAGTGGCTCTCATCAGTGCTGGTCTTGGCCCCCTTCACTGGGCATTTGGCAATGTCTTCAGTTATTTTTCATGGTCCCAAATTGGGGAAATGGGTGTTTCTGGCATCTAGAGGGTAGCTAGAGAGGCCACCGCCCATGCTAGGGTGCACAGGTGATCCCCATAATAAATAATGATCCTGTCCCAAACTCCATAGCATTAGTCTGAAACTCTGCCAGTAAAGGATTTTTGGCTCATTTTGCTCTCCCTCAAGGTCCAGGCTGAGGTGGGTTGGGGTGGAGAGAATGCTCCGGTTTGATGAGCGTGAGAGTCCCGAGTTCTTACATCCCATGTGGTCTAAGCATTGGTAAGCACGAGGGTACCACTGAACTGGGCAAAGTGCACGGTGAGGGAGGTCTTCCTAGTTCCAACAGCTGCCTTTGCTCTGAGTACAGAGAATTTTGACAAAAGCAGAGGACCAAAAAGTTACAAGGATGTTTAGTTTGTGATAAAAATCATTTTGCAGATTAAAGTGCTTCTTCCTGCCCATAAAATGGTATGTTCTTTAAATAACTCAAAAATTGGAGTAGAGGGCAAGCTTGCTGCCCATAGGCATGCTCAGTTAACTGCATCCTAGTTACCAAGTGTGTCCAAGCTCTAGGTGGTGATATTCCCCCGTTTTTCCTGAGTGCTTTTGAACTAATTCATGCTCTAAATGATCTGTCCACATGAGTCCATCTGTGGGTTGTTTGCTGGATGGAACCAAATCCTTCCTGAATCTCTCATTTCTTTCTCTCTCTCTCTCTCTCTCTCTCTCTCTCTCTCTCTCTCTCTCTTGCTGGGGACAAGAAGGCTGCTCCCTCCTGGAGCATCTCTCCTTTTACATATAAGTGCAGTTAAGAAGAATGAGAGACTCTCGCCCAAGATCCTCAGCAAAGGCTGTGTGTGTCACATTGGTTTGGATGGGATCATGTGTTCATCCCTGAACCAACGCTCAGCTAGACAAATGCTAAGGACTGATTGGGAGAACCATGACCCATGTGGACAATATCTCTGACCTGAGTGGAACTTCATGGGAAGCGTGTGAGCTGACAGTGGGGCACGTGTGTTTCCTGAAAGGGAAGCGGAGGTGAGATAGTCAAAATGAGAGGAAAGGATGCCAAGGAGAACACACACACACACACACACACACACACCATACACACGCGCACGCGCGCGCACGCACACACACACACACACACACACACACACACAACTTGCTAAGAAAATGGATTCTGTAGCCAAAGACACAGATCTTGCCCGACCATTGCAGTCAGCTCGCGCTGAGCTGGGTTAACTGTAACTTTCCTTACCTCCTTTCTTATCCAAACATCGATGTCAGGGTGGGATGAAATATCAATTATCTTAGAATATTGGAAGGACTGTGAAAAGACAAAATGATGGTGATGTTAAATTGAATCAATCCAGTTAAGCCTCTACAGTATATAACTGTCTACACTAACTTTGACCCACCAGGCTAGTCCGTGCCAGCCTTCCATCGGAAGCCAGGGTCTAAATTTATCCCAATCTTCGTTGTTGCAGGTCATTGTAGGAAATCTTCTGAGGTCAATGATTGAGGTAATTGGCTTGAAAACGTCTCTGGTAAATGACATAATTGGTTTTAATTATGTAATTACGGCACTTAAAGTGTGGGGGTGAAAAGACACTCTTATATTTAGAAGTGAGATCCCCCCAAACGAAGCCAGGGCACTTAAACCAGCATGTCTTCAGGTCTCTCTTTGTTTTTGTTTTTTTTTTCAGACGGAAGCCAGGGCAGGCTGGCCTTGGCACTGGCGGTTTGGGGTTGATTATCCTGCGTGAAGTAGTGCCAGGCCTGGGCCGGTATCATAGGAACCTTTGTAAAGAGAGGAAAGGGCTTCCGTAGACCTTCTTGTGATCTGAAGTTAATGAGCAGTGGGAACTCAACTGTCAGCAATTGAATCTGATTGGGCAGGGTAATTATATGATTGCCTCTGGTGTTTGCACATGCATAGGGATATTTTTATTGGAAAAAACCTAATTGCTTACTTACTTAGCGGAGGGAAAACCTAAACAAATTTGTGTTGTCATAGGTTAAAAAGACATCCTTTCTTTGTCTCTGAAGTAGCTGCCTGTTCCACCTCTTAGAAGTGAGGGTTTGGTTTCTTTCTGGGTTCAATCAGGGATGTTTGCAGGACTTGGGTTTTATGATAATATTGTAACATAAAGGAAAACCATTCCAGGCTGTGTGTTTCGATGACCATGTGCTGATCACTGTTCTGAAACACCCCTTAAAGTAGTTTCTTTCACAGTGTACAAACAGCTGGAAAGAACCCTGGACAACATTCAAGCTCCTTGGATTTTCACAAGCTTTCGTTTCGTTTTGTTTTTATGTTGTCTTCCTCACATGGAGGCCTCTGACAACACTGGCTTCACCCACTATCTGGTTTCCTTAATTGCCCAAGGCAAGTGGGAGGTATTATGTCTGTGATGGGGTTTTAGACACGAAAACCACCAAGGCTGAGAGGCACAAAACCTCCCTCTGCAGTTTCCCATGGACTTGCAGGGAAGAAGAGGCGCAAAGTGGGGGCGCCTAAGAGAGAAAACCTCAGAACGTCCCAGCTGGACTTTAGAAACCCACAGTCTGAACTACAGCTGGCACCTCACCTGGGTCAGAACACTTAGCCCCCGCACTGCTTGTTTCTCCCTTCATATACAACCATCAATTTCCTAACGCCTCTCCTGTGAGAGCCACCAGAGAGGTAGAAATGCAACTGACCAGCGCAGCTGACTCATGGTAAGAGCTCCAGATGCCAAGTCTGGGTGCTCCCGCTGGGTGTAGAGTTCTGGGCTCGAGAATGGGGGAGAATAAGACCTTCCTGCCCCTCTTTATAGCCCTGCTCTCCGCCTTAGGAATTCTGAATGTGTTGACCCACCCTGATATTATTGGGTCTCGGGTTCTGTGCTAAATGTCACGTCTGGGAAACCTCCCCTGACCACTCACCCTCATCTGGGCTGGCTGCCTTTATACTCCATAGCATGTTCTAGGTGACTGCCCCCCTGTCTTGTAATTGTCTTATTGTCTCCCCGGTAGCCTGTAAGCTCTATGAGGGCAGGGCTGTGAGTCTTTCCCTCACTCGTTCTCTACCCAGAGCCCGGCACAATGCCTGTGTGTGAGAGTGAACGGATGTGGAGAGGATTGCTTGCTGGGTGTGCTGCCTGGGGTTCCCAGCCCCTGCTGTTAATACCGCTTTCTTGTTGCTTACGATTTTCATTGCCCTAGATGATCCAGCTCTGTCGGAGGCACGTAGGCACAGACAAATCTCATGCAGTACATTGATCACCTGTCCAACCTTTGCCTAGAGTGGGAGCCCCCAGTTCCTTCAAGAGATCCAACTTTACCTGTCTGTAAAGAAGAAGAGGAGGAGGGAGACAGCGGGGAGGATCCGGTGGCAGTGTAACACCAGAGCAGGTCCAATGTTTACTTTTACCCTTCTGGAGGTGGGTAACTGCAATTGCTGTGGAGTGCTGGGTTTCAGAGCAACTGAATAATGACCTTGGATTTGGGGGCTCATGGGTACTTCATTTTTGCTGGAGTGTAGGAGTCTGTAGTTAATTCATAGACTGTGGGCCCAGGTTCATCTAATGCATGCTTTAAATTGCTACAGCTATCTCATTGTGGTTGCACACAGTGTGTCTGTGTCTTGCTATGTGGAGAAGAGAAGAGAATCATTTGTTGGAGCTCTTTAGTGAGCTCTATATTGATCATGTGCTTGCCAAGGCTTAAGGTTTTCAACAGCCTTTCTTGTTTGGATCCTGTGGCTTTTTATGATTCGACGCCCCCACCCCAACCCCAGGTAACCTCCTAGCCAAGAGATCCTGAGTAACTATTGAGTAAATGCTGTTTCACTGGGAAGCACGCCTCTGTGTTTATGAACAGCGTACCCAAGCCTGAAGCGTGTCTAATCAGCTTCTCCCCTAGGAAAACATGAACTTATGACCCCTCAAACCTCAAACACAGGCCTTCTTAGTGAACCCCCAAGCCCCAAGATGTCCCTGAGTGTGAACTGTCCATTTTTCAACGGCCACATTAACAGTTTCTGGGTGGATAGATGCTGGCATGTGGAAACTACACAGCCTCATAGGATGGAACAGAGTATACCGCAGAGGCTCTTGGGTCATTGGTTATGGTTTTGTGGCCTGCACGTAAGTCCTCTGGGTCTGAATGTGCTCCTCTTGTGCAGTTTCTAAGGTCCCTTTACTTTGTAATCTTGAGAGTGTGTATCTGCTTTGACCTAATAAGCTCCTATGCTGGAAATTTTAAGGGTTTCTTCTAGAAAATAGTTTGAATCCACTTTGTTGTATAGTAGGTGTGTTCATAAATATCATGCACTTTGAATCAAGCCATGGGCCTTGGTGAGCTTTATTCCTGAGTTCTAAGGAAAAGCTTCTTTTGACTTTGGTTTTGGAATAGCACCAAAGGATGGCTCATACCTCATATCCTCTCTGATTGAGTCAGGTAATAGCCACCTACACAAATAAACCGCATTCTTTTGCAAAAGGAGATATATATATATATATATACATATATAATATCTTTGAATGACATTTAATTTATAATTAAATTTGACAGTGCTGACTGAGGTGTTTTGTCTTGTCTAATCACTATGATCTATTTCATTTCGAATACTTCTGCATGGGGTGGGCTGGCCCTTTTGTTATCTTCATATATTATGACAAAGATTAATAATGTTGAAAAAAAGAAAAGGAAAAATAAATTATTGCTGTTCTAGGTCACACCCAAACTGCTGATTATTTCCATTGTTTATTTTATAAAAAGCATTTTTTTCATGTCCCTTCATTGACTGATTTATTCACCAGGCTCTCTGAGTGCCGTGCCTGGACCAGCAGTCTGCTTCCTGGCATCACGTGGGAACTTCTTAGAAATATAAATTCTCAGACCTCACCTGTGTCTAGTAAATCAGAAACTCTGTGTGGGGCCCAGCAACCTGGTTTTGAAGGATTCTCTGGGGCTCAGATACACACGACAAACAACCTGAAAGCCAGCGGTTCTGTGGGGGCATTAAAGGGATGTAACCAAGTACAGCCTTCTAGGAGTTTGGGATCCATTCAAGGATATAAGGCATAAATCCACCAGACAGTTAAGCAGAGTCATCTTCATAAAATACAAATTACATCATACACTCACTTCCTAAACCCCTCCAGGCAGTTTTCTTTTGTTCTTACAATGAATATAAAGGTTTGATCTAAGGACTGCAAGGCCTGGCATGCTCCCTCCCCTGCCTACCTTTCCATCCTCATCCGGTACTGTTTCCACCCTCCCCAGTGCTCTTCCACATGGTACCAGCCTTCTTACTGATCTTCAAGTAATAGGCTTGAACTCCTGTTCATGCAGAAGAATATGTCTGACCCCTGTCCCCATTGATGAATATATTCATATAGTTCATATGTAAGTGGACAGATGCAATAATGTTGATATCATAGTTGGCATTGTTGGCTTTATTTTGAACCACAGCAAATGAGACTTGCCAAATCACTAAGGAAATAAGAAGCATAATATGTTTCATCTTTGTATGTGTTTGTATTGACCTCTGTCTGTGAGAGCTCACTGAGTAGGAACAGGTGCTCAGCCATACAGGCGAAGTGAGTAACGAGGGCGGGAAGCTCCACATGGCATTGCGTTAGACCATGATGTGGATGCAGCTGATGGATGAGTCTGGCTATCTTCATTTAGTTTCAGGGAAAATGGTAGCTATGCCTGTTGGAATTGGTCTTTCTAAAAATGTGAATGTCAATATGGATCTTTAGGGCATCGATGTACCATGTGTTTTTGGAATAAAGGAGCTGGTTAAATTTTTATGGAATGTGAAAATACTATATTTTGGGATTTTCTTCATGATAAGAAGGGGAAACCTTAATATATGGTTTGTCTTTCTGAAAGTGAATTGGATTTGAGACCCAAGGGTTCTTAAAGACCTACCTAAAGTCTGAGAGTAGGGACAGTAGCTTTGGGTGCTGTTTCTGTTTTGACTATTCCCAGCTCCATATCCCTAGTAACAGGCTATTGTTTTATGGATGTTGCATCTCTGGTTTGGGACATTTGCTCATTAGGATGGCTCTTGTTTGTGATTCGCAAAGGAGCAGAAAGTCAGTTTGAAGGTGTAAACAGATAGAGTAGGGTGTGGCCAGGGGGAAAGTGCTCCTTCCCTTCCCCACTATCTCTGCACCTTGTAAAGTCTCCCCTGGGAATGGGAGAGAAATCTCCTTAATACCTTAAGGACATCCTCAAAAGGGCCCTTCCCATTGCTGGTGAGGGCAGCCTACTACTCAGGGTGGCGATCCCGTGTGAACAAGACACACATGCTGTGTCTCCACCGACTGAGAACCCAAGCACGGAGCTTGGGTAGGCTTCATCCAGTAACCCCATTTTCACGCTTTGAAACACATTCTGAGGCTAAGGACAAAGAGCTAGGTTAACAGATAACCAGGAAACAGACACCTTCTGGGGCTGTCAGGACTATGAGAGTGAACTGACAGATGCTCAGACGTTCAGGTGTTGGTAGCATGGAAGAGTGTCCCCAGGAGGCTAGCATCACTTCCCGTGCTAGCTAGGGTGTTGCCCTCAAAAATGATCACAGCAAAGAGTCTGCTGGGTCCACATAGGTGGAACTACCACTGCAGAGTGAACCTGGAGGCAGAGCACTTCTCCCACAGAGGCTGAGATTTTTCACTCAACTGAAAACAAGCACCCTTGACCAGAACCTTGGAGCTTGTGTCACTTTTGTGTAGCTGTGGCCAAAATATGTGAGAGAACAACTTACAGAAGAGAAGATTTGTTTTGGTTCACCGTTTCAGAGGATTTCAGTTCATGGTGAAGTAGCTTACATCATGACAGATACAGAAGAGAATACAGCACTGAACGGAAGGCCTAGGGCAGGATGTAGCCCCCAAGGCCAAACTCTCGTGACCTACCTCCTCCATCTACACCCCACTTCCTACCTTCTAATACCTCCAAATAATGCCATGATGCTAAGAATCCATCAAGGGATAAATCCATTCGTTAGATCAGAGCCCTCATGATCCAGTAACTTCCCAAAAGCCCATCAGCTGGCAGCCATGACCTCAAAACACCTGGATATGGGGCACAGTTCTTATTTAGACATAACAGAGGAAGTTTCTGGTGTTTTATTTGGCTCTTCCAACTTCCTTTGGTGCCTGTCTTTGAGACATCTTTTTCAGGACAATATCTACTGGCTCATCTTTAAAAGCAGAGCTGCCCACAGAGGACATTCCCCTCCCTGAATGATGCTCTCAGAGCCTTCGGCGCTCAGTAATGATCTCAGAAGCTTCCCAGGTATGGTGGCCAGGAGTTCTAGGATGGAGGAACTGCCTTCCCCCTCTGCCTTCTCAACCCAGAGCCCACGCTACATATGTCCCATCTGTCCTTCTAGCCAGAACAAAGCCAAATGCATTGTTATGTCTTGGTTCCAAGCATGCTGATTTGGCACAGATCAGGCACCTAGGAATAAATAGCCAAGAGAAGACATTCTGCAAATCTCAGTTTTCTTACAATGCTGAGGTTCATTCAGGAATATGAAATAAAAGATTAAAAAATGCCTGATTTGTTCCCTTATCCATCCACTCCTACAAAAACATCTACTGAGGACTTATATTTGAATCACAGATCCAAATATATTAATAATGCATAACTCATAGTAAGTACACTACTGATGCTGGTTATTGTGAATGAGACAGAACACAAACTCTGGCATCTGAGTCCTCTTGTGCTCCTGTTCTGAGGCCTTGGCCTCTGTTTCTTTGTTAGTTAGAAGCTATAGTCTAGGGTGCCAGGCCTATTTCTATGCAGAGAGACAGAACTCTTCCACAGAGATGAAGAGCTTGAACTTGTGTCATGATCCCTGACGTTTTAGAATATTGCAAGACAGCTCACTGTTCGTCTGCACACAGCCAAGGTAAGCAAGAAATGACAGGAGACAAGCAAGCTTCAGGGCACTGTGAGTAGCCTTTAAACTACTAGCAAGTTAGTGAAGACAAGCATTTGAATTTTCTGGGTTCCTACTCACTGAAAGGGACCTGGCCTATTTCTGACATGGGGGACTCTGTCATGGAAAGGAGAGGACAGTTTCTTCAGACATGAAGAATTTGAGCTGGGACCCCAAACTGAACCTATAAAACTAATATGCTCAGTGGCACTTTTTGGGGGTCCACACATGGCTCCTCAAGTTAGGAAATAGACAATTCTAGATTTTTGGATTTGGGAGGGAAAATCAGATGATCTAAATATACCAAGCAAAATTTCTACAAGCAGTCCCCTTCATGAGCTGGAGAGATGGTTCAATGGTTAAGAGCCCTGGTTCGTCTTGCAGAGGACCTGGGTTCGATTCCCAGCACCCACGTGGTGACTAACAACTGTTTTGTTTGTAATGCCAG